TTTACTTCAGACACCAACAGCCATAGGAACGCTTGTTCTGTCATTGCTAACTGGTTGCTGGATTGTACCTCAAGTCAAAGGTTCCGGGAGTGATCTCTGAAAACTAACTAACATTTGAACGTCGGGGTATTATCTTAACTCTTACACAAAACATGACATACTTGTCCCAATGAGGAACTCGAAGTGCTCATTAAATCTGCTTCAATGTGATCAAATTTGTTGTATTGCAAACTTAATACCTAACCATCTACTTTACTGTAATTTTATTGTTTTCGTTGCAGATGAACTGTGTTATTTAATCGTTATCATTTTGAAATGTGTGTATAAATGCATTTTACTTCATTCAGCTTCCCGTAATTGATTAGTCCAATAATTCTGCTCTTTCTCTACAGTTTCAATTCATTAAACAGTTGCTCTCACAAACTGAAATACCAACACAGCAGTTGACACGCTTATCTGCCGCTTAGGCTGTCCACTCTTGACAGCCAGATTCGTTTGGAAATTTTCACTTCTGAGTTGTACGTCGTCTTAAAAAATCATCCATAAGATCCCAGTGAAAGCTCTCAAAATGCTGTGTAGTATGATTAAGGCTGGTACACGTTCACAGCCTGTCACAGAAGTCCTACTAACTACCACCTTCACGTGACTGGGTTGTTTCCATACATGTGAAAGGGCACAATCGAATGTATGTTGCTTACCACCGGACTGGTGGATACTGATGGTTCACCTAGGGGAGTTGGAAAACCCTGATTCCAAACGAATAATGCTCATGAACTCCAAGTTCCAGACTGAACGGATGGGGTATGGACCTGTTTTGGTCACCGGCAACCATGAGAATGCAGCTCCTGATGTTGCTCCATTACCTCGTGCACTAGACTTTAATACAAAGGCTCGGGGAGTGGTCTCTTATGATAACCACCTGCTTCGATCTAGGCTCCCGTGCAGTGTCCTAGTCCTCACAAAGTATTAACTTGCAGTATAAAAAGATTTCTAGGCTACTAACCAACTTTCCTGAAAATACTCGAGCTCTCCGCACTATAATAATCTACAACCGATTGTTCAGTTTATTGCTATTATATTGCTTTTGTTGTTTTTGCGTATGAACTGTATTTTTTATTATTATTACCATTTCCGCTTTCGTCTTGATCTTCACTTCACTCAACTGCTCTTCACTGCTTAGACGTCTGGTCTGTTTGTACCGTTTCGAGTCGCTAAACAGTTGTCCCCAAAAAGCTGTCCTCCAGTACGACATCTGACACAGCTATCCTGAGGCCGTGCGTACTGTTTAAGCTCACCACCTTCAACGTTTGCACCTTGATGCAGATCGGACAACAGATAGGTTTGGCTAGGACGCTGGAAAGCCTCGCTGTTAATTTGCGCTGCATCTCAGAGACCGGCATACAAGGTCGCAGTGAAGTGCTTCGAATTAGTTCCCCATCTATCAGCTCGAAAAGTATGTTTCATGTGCACTTATCTGGGGACTCTGTGGCATCGGTAATCGGCATCGCTAGTGTTGGTGTTGCACTAAGTGCTGGAGCCGCAGCTGCACTACTCGACTGGAACCCCATCAACAGTCGTCTGTATGCTGTTAGACTAGAAGGTTCAACTCGAGTAAGAAGTAACGGGGAACAGAAATAATGTCTGTTTGCCACCTTTGTCTATGCTCCGACGGATTGCGGCCTGCATGCAGCCAAGGATGAGTTCTATCATCAACTGAGTGACATTCTCAATCAAATGCGCTCGATAGACATCGTAGTGCTTCTGGCTATGAACTTGAATGCACAGATCAGGTATCTAGGGTCAGAAGAGAGTCGTTTAAGCGACCAACGAGGACTAGCTGGACACAGGTCGGATAATGAGGATAATCTTGTGCAGGTTTGCGCAGATCACAACCTATTTCTAGCCAGCACCAACTTCCCGCACAGCTGTCGTCGTTATGTTACTTGGCGTACTCTCTCTGCCATTCAAGCATGGACTCAAATAGATCATATTGCAATCAGCTACCGATGGTGTGGGTGCAACAGGACTGTCACTCCATATGGAGTACTTGTGTGGACTCTGATCATACTTAGTGTGTGCTAAGCTCGTTTTACGTTTTGGTGGTCATCAAAACCGTCGCCCTAAACACGTCGAGGCAAGCAAATTGGTTGCACCTAACACTGCAGCCAAATACCAACCCCAACTGCATTCAAGGCTAGCTACCAGTCCTCCAGACACTGTAGACGAGCATTGGCTGCACTTGTAAGTCACCATGAAAATGACGAGTAAAACCAATCGCAGCTTGGGGGGACGTCTTGCTAATGAACATGGTCTCTGAGAGCTCCCTGCAACTTTTTGACGCCTGTCGGACCATTCCGGAGGATAGCGAGTACAATGGTTCGCGTAAGTCTCTTACATGAAAGATTACACAACGTTTACGCAGGGGCCGTGAGGCTTGCAGGTCAGAATGCGCGAGTGAGATGGAAGCCTCAGCTGCATATGACAACAGTCAGAAGCTGTTCCAGGTCATCCAAGCCACTGACAGCAAAATGCCTGGTGTCAGTGAAACGGTCTGTAAGATAGAAGGTATGCTGATAAACAATCCTCAAAGACTCCTGGAACGCTGGACGGAGCACCTCGAAAAGAAGTTCAGCTGGCTCACGGCTCCAGCATTGTCAGCCTCAGTGTATCGTGCTCCATGGTCAATTAACACTGACACACCTAACGAAACCAAGGTCCGTAAGGGACTCTATGTTCTGAAACGTCATGAGGCACCCGACCAGGACAACTTACCCCTACTCTTTTCAAGGATACAGGGAAGACTCTATTCAGGGAACTGACTCGATTATTTGAGAAGGCATGGCAAACTGAGTGTTTCATCACTTTGGAATGAAGCCAGTATTTTGCTCATCTTTAAAAAGGATCTACATAATGTATGTGACAATCATCCGGTTAATAGTCTGTTACCAATCACGTCGAAAATACTGGTTGCTGTCATACTTCGCAGGCTTTGCGAACACGTGAGAAAATGATAGGCGAACAAAGGCTGGCTTTCGTTCAAGTCATGGATGCACTGACCATGTGCTTGCCCTTCACCAGATGCTTGAATATAACCACACATATTGCAGACCAACAATCGTTGTGTCTTGATATTAGGGCTGTCTTCGACTCGTTGGACAACTGTACCCTGAAATTGTCTGTTGGAGAGGGGTTTGCCTGAGAAATTCACTGACATCTTGAAAGCCCCATATAATAACACCTCAAGTAGAGTGAGGACACAACCACCTGTCTCCATTGTTCCAAACCAGCAGTGGGATCAGGTAGGGTTACCCGATTTCTCCATTCCTCTTTAACTTTGCCTTTGCCATCGATGACATCCTTGAGACAGCTGTGATGGGGCGGCGTGGTGTTGGTGTAGATCTAATACACGGAGAACGGCTATTCGACCTTGAATATGCAGACGATATCATCTTACTGTACGATAACACACGGGCTACTCAAGCCGCGCTTAATCGACTTACGATTAGTGTCCGCAAGTACGGTATTTGCTTTGCACCATCGATGTGCAGAGTACTTTGCAAGATTGGCAGGAGCCTGTGCCTGTACTCACCCTTGGTTGTGAGACGTTGGAAATAGTCGAAAAGTTCGTGTATCTGGGTGTTTGTGTGAGTGCTGGTGGAGGTGTGGGTGATGAAATTTGCAACCACATATCGAAAGCCACAGTGGCATGTCCGATACAGACCACTTTCATCTCCGTCACGACGTTAGTCTGACCCTAAAAGATCGCGCCTACAACGCTTCGGTGTGAGCAGTTCTGCTCTACGTCTATGAGACCTTGCCTGTCTGAGCTGAGGATGTACGACGACTCTGTGTGTTCGACCACTGTTGTCTCCGTAGGGTTGCTCGTATCCAGTGGCAACACCATGTAAGTAATACTGAGGTACAACATGGTGTGTTTGAGTAAGATGGAGATTGTCATTCAATAAGTGAAGTCATCTGGAAACGCCGGCTTCGGTGGCTTAGATGTGTGTTACTCATGTCGTCTCAACGGCTTCCACACCGTTCATTGTTTACTTTACTAACCCTGGTACTAGATGGAAGAAGCGGAGGGGTGGTCAGTGTATGAGGCGGTGTCGTGGAATGAAGGATAGTTGTATCGGGTTGGCATCTGTTGGTGCATCACAACTTCCTGGGTCGTATCCGAAGGACCACGCAACTCAGTGACTTGAGACGTTATCAGATATGGCTGAGAATGGAAACCGGTTGCGGTCAACGTGTAGCTTCCTCCTGTCTTCTGCTTCTGAAAAGTAGTGAATGTTTTGTTCTGAATGTATCTTATTGGACTGCCCTTCTAACCATACTATTCTTATCATTTTTCTTTCTTACTTATCCACTTCTCATCGTTTATTCTTCACAATGTTGTTATACTATCAATTATGGTGCATTTCTTGGTGTCCATGTTGTACCATGTTTGTGTTCTAATAAATAATAATTATAACGAAACTAAGATTGCCATGACCAATATATTGAAACGATTCATGAAGTTTTAAACTTCCAGTCTTTATCGTGCAGTGACCCGTAGTTTTGCAGTGGGATTTGTTAAGATGTCACAGATTAATGGTTAGAAAGTTGTAATTAAGTGATTCGAAGTTGGTCAGAATTAGGAAGGCTTTTACTTCTCATCATTTTCAAAATCATGGACACTTTCCTGACCTTAAGTAAACTATTTCCTCTTCTGTAATTTCTGCTCGCTTCAACTTTTGTGCAATTATTAAGTATGATTTGCTTGTGTTTGATTATTATTTGTTCGATCCGCTTGGTTAGATTTTCTATGGTTACTATAACAAATCGCAAGAAGCTATCTACTTCTGTTTACTGGCAAATTATGGAAACTACTTACTCATAAGGTTAATACATGGATAAGTCATCTATCTAAATGTACAGTGTTATCAGTCTTTACTTCATTTAAGATATTGATTTTTACGATTAAAGGGTGTTTTTTTTCATGTTTCTCTCTCAAGGTATTCAGTATGTTGCTAAAAAACTTGGTATCGATTGCGCGGAAGCTGTTGTTGGTTGGTCATTTCATGCAGGTGGATGGGCGCATCCAAAAACTGAGGGTTTTGTTGTCTGTAAAGAATCTGTACCAGTTTTAATTGATGCATGGCGTGCAGAGAAAATGAATGCTGTTAAAGCAGCCAATGAAGAACGAACTGAACGTGCATTAAACAATTGGAAACGATTAGTTCGTGGACTTTTTATATGGCATAGGGTTAAAGCACAGTTTGCTTTGGCTCCCCTACATAATAAACGAGCTACTGTTGAAAAATATGAAAAGTGCAAAAAAGAAGAAACTACTACCATACATCCTAATGAAATAAATATTAATCCATGTGGTGAACAGAAGGAGGAATTACTTGATTCTTCAATCTCCTTTGATACTACGGGTAAAACACCTACAACCGAGGGATGGATACGTTTGGGTCCAGTAGATAAAGCACATTTGTTGCCTAAGATACCTTTGGATGTGAAAAGAACCCACCTAAACGTCGTAATCCAACTAGAAAGAGACGTAAAGCAATAAAATACGAACCTTCTTCAACTGAAGAGTCTGACCCACAGCTACCGAGTTCTGAAAGTGATGATTCAGCTGATGAGTTTGTCAAATAATGTGATTCTAGTGAGGTAGGTATGTTCTAGATTTGTTTTCACTTAACACTTGTTTGCATTTATGAACAAATTTTTTCTCTCTCTCATGTTGAACACGTCTTCTTTGTAGATTATAGTCCTTTTTGAATTGTTTGATTTTGTTTGATGATGAATTCCATCATCCTATTTACAAAAGAATACGATGTTTCTGCTCAGTTAATTCTACTACTCATAGCCAGGTATAATTTATAACTGTGGATGATTTACTGAGTATGTAACTTGGTGTTTCACAAAGATAGACAATTGCAGCAAGAACATCACTAGACTGCTATGATTTGTTACTGGTGGGACCAAAAAAAGTAGAAACTGATGTCTAGAGCTAATTTTGTGTTACTGTTCGACTGTTCAAGTTATTTTATTCCACTTTTGAAACATATCAATCTACGCCACTTGTATGTACCTGCCATGACATATCACTCTTTCCGATCATCGTTTAACGTATATTTCCCGTTCTGTATATATTCTCAATTTATTTCATTCGAAAACATGCATACAAACAGCTTGTAACATCTCAAGATGTACGGAGAACAATAAAAGACAGAAAAAGCAAAACCAACTTAGAATCATGCATGCAGATGTATCGGCTCAAATTGCTGCAATTCACAGTAGTACACAAAGAACGGGGGGAAAGAAAAAGACGGATATCAAAGTAGACAAAGTTATGTGAGAGAATCAACAATCTAATAATAACAGTTCGTGCGAACATGCAGTCTTTATAAACCGATAAAAAGTGACTATATCTGCACCATCGTGACTGATTTTCAGTCATGTCACCAAGAGTCCTCAATCTTTGATCCCTTTCATCTCGGGGACCCCAACCAGGCAATCTACACTCCCCACATGGCCCAGACCAACGGTTAGAGGCATTATCGACTGGTGCCACGTCTTAGTTTGGCCACCCTGTACCCTCTCTCAACCTAATCCAACTTCCCTTAGCATGGTACATCGTGGTTAGCGATGGATGGGCACGCGCAGTACATGTCTAAACCACCTCAGTGAACTAAGATTCACGACTTCATCAATCGAACAATAAAGAAATATAGCTTCTTACTCTAATATAAATTTAGATGATATTGGTTATAAAACCAATCTCTGGCTGTCAGTCGCAATAGTTTGTACGAGTAGCCTTTTAGGATAATTGGGAAGACGTGGTCTGATCAGAATGAGCATCGAGAGAAGGGGAAGCCGGTAATTCCTGGGTTACTTCATCAAAACCATAGTACCGAATTTAGATAAGGCAGTCACTTCGCTACACGTATTATCGTTATGATTATATATTCAACGCAAACAACAGAATGTGAGTATTGTAGAGTATATCGAAAAATAGTATAACATGGAGAAATATGAGGCAGATGGTTGGGATTAGGCGTATAAGAGTGCTCGAAGACTAAATGGTGACCAATCAATATACCCATTGAACTTTTTTGCGGGGAAACGTGGAGGTTAAAAACTCGGGGAAATGTTGCACAACCCTGCGTTTTTCCCTGTGTTGCAATCTGTATTATGCCTCCCTTGTTTTGCCCCGCGTAAATGTTGACTGGGTACATTCAGAAAACTTTCATTTGTGTCCATTTACCGTTTTTAAGAATATTGGACATAAGAAAGTTACGATGTGATCCCCATTAGTATTAGTTTTAGACAGATCTCTTAACATCTCGAACCATTGAATCATGTGATCTCTTGGGGGCTTTTCCAAATTTTTATATGTGAACACTTAGGATTTCAGCAGTGCAGAAATACTGGAATTCACGATGTTTATCCAGATTACTCAATATCGGCTAAATGACATTTTTTTCCTACGGAAAGCATTTAACTACAGGTTATGATACTATCACTAAGTAAATTTTATTCCACTGACCTTCATAGACTAGTTCGCACGTGGTAGAACTATCATGCGAGCAATGCAGAAATTAGGCATAGGTTGATAATATATGTGAGTATATTAACTTTGGTTTCAAGGCCGAATTTACCAAGGAAGGTGTAATGTTTTGAAACATGCAAAGGTGTTTTAAACTTTGAAATAGCTAATACACCTAAAACTTCTAGAATACGTTCGTAACATGTTTTGTAAGCGGCCTTAAAATATGTACAAACATTTACTTTGTGACCTATCTTAATAATGTCTTTTGTAATGAAATAGTTTTGGATGTGTACCACCAACATTGATGGATTCAGGCGATTCAATCTGGATTTCTAAACATTTGGAAGGATAAATGAGCCCATCCTATGTATGTATTATGTAATCACCTGTACATTGAAATTGATAAGTACAGTGAAATGTAACGTCATCACTCACCATATCGTTTCACGTATTTTGAATGTAATCATATCATATATGAATATAGATTCCTCAGCTGAACATTTTTGTTTCCATTTGTTTAAATTGATCTTTAGTTTGCCAACATTGGTTGAATCAATGGTGTTTATATAATCCCATATGTAGGAAGCTATGAGTGAGCTTTTCTCTATACTTTTGTATTCTTGTATCCCGCCTATTAAGTCACTTAATTTTTCGTGCTTATAAATTGTGACTTGGAAGGATCATAGATTTCGACCCAGATGGTAAACATGAGAGTTACTGCAGCCTTTCTTATGCATTACATTGTTCTTTTCGAATTCTTTTTGACTGTGACCATCAAGTGAATTCAGTTTATTTACGATGATATCTCTTGGTTTAAAATGAAGTGTAAGTAGCTGTTCTTTGTAGATTTCTTTTGATAGCTCTTGTTCTATTTTCTAATAATGATCTTTTTATCAGTTTCCCAATATAATTTTCTCCTCTTTTCTTGATATGGTCGTTTGACTTCAAGAGGATTGGTCCTATCACAGGAAAATCCTTAGTAGAGCTAGAGTACGCAGATGACTTGGTCCTGTTAGGTGAAGATGCCGACATGATGTAGAGTATACAAGAGTGACAGTTGAAGAATGTTTGGGATGCGTCCCTTGTCACCTGAAATCAAATTGCTGCTCCAGGACTGGTCTTCAGTGGCGTCTTGTCTAACAGTAGAGAATGAAGTGGTTAAGCACGTTGACCACTTCACTCACCTGGGATGTCGGATCACCCCTGGTGAGTCAGTGGCTGATAAAATCTCTTCAGGGGTGATAATGACTAACTTGCCTTTCTCTAATTTACGCTACTTATGACACCGAAATAATATCCGATTGTCTGTTAAGGACCTAGTGTACTACGTTGCAGTTCGCTCTTTCCTACTGCATGGCCGTGTAACATGGTCATTAAAGGTAGACAACATGTCCACTGTTGCCTTTATAGCATAGTCTGTGTGTTGTAGTGCCACCACTTGAGTAACGTAGAAGTTAGCTACTAGAGTTTTAGGCAGAAGAGGAAAGTGAGTTGATGAGGTTGTAAAGCTTCATCGACCGAGGTGACTAGCACATGTGTTACACATACTTAGTCACTGTCTACCTCGTCGCACAATGTTGGTTGAAATAGGTTCAGTCTGGAAAAAGGTTAATGGTGACCAGACTAAGTCCTGGTATCATTGCATGAAGTATCTGACTGTCGGTCGGAACTGTGTAGGTATATATTGACATCTCGATTGGAGTCTGTTCTACAACCGAAATTGATGGTTATTAGCTCTAGGTAATATAGTTTAAAGTCGATGTCAGTGGCCCAAGTGTATGCACAAATTATCCTCATCTTAGCCTTAATGTCGAATTTCAGTATCCTCTTATTCCTCCTTGCTCTCTCTTGGTAAATTTTTCCCAACCTCAACTATTTTCTTCTTTATTTCTTTATCTTTCATTCTGGTCTTTTCTAGCATGATATGCTTACATGAGGTGTGTCAACTTGGACTGTTATGCGGTAATGCCTAGTCCTATGTTGATTTTGTTTCTGTTATGGTTGTACGTGGTTTGGTCTAAATCCCGAATTTAACACCATTTCGAGTTAAATATCCACTTTACGTTAATTAGCGGAGTATGTCATCAGACTACATTTCGTATTTTCAAAACCTTGCTGCCATCGTTGTTTCACTGTAACTAATCTTTGTGATTGATTTGACTTCCTATGAGTAGTTGCTTTTTTCACTGTCACTCACTATACTTTCTAATATTATAATTCAATATAATGTAGTGTACAGATTACCCTATAATTACTGCATTATTTATTATCTGGGTAAAACTTCATTCAATGCCACACTTAATAGACAATTAAGAAGTAATAGTTGAAAACTGGTTTAAAAGGAACCAATGATACGAAAGTGTAGAGAAAAGCTTACTCATAGCCACCCACGCATGGGACGAAAAGCATATTATTGATTGTAACAAAATCAGCCTACTAAACTCATGGAAACAACGAATTGTCAACAACAAAATCTATATTCAATCATGTCAACACTGTTGCATACAACAAAGGTGAAACAACCCAATTATTGACCACATGGAATAAAATGTTGGATAGATCAATACATAAGCATGATGTATAAACAAGATACATATCTTCATAATTGAAATCCTAATGATTAGTTTTGTTATGGAAGAGAACTTTGTCGTTAATAAATCTTGGAAAGTCTTGAAAATTCAGATTGTTCAAACATTCTATATATTGAGTCATGGAGATCATTGGTTACAGTCCCCCTCCACCTAATGAGGTTTGAGCAGCCAGGTAGTATCAGTAGCCCCTCACACAATAGGTGTCGTTCATTGCCTACTGGATGAATGTGTACAAGGTAGCTGAGTGCATCTCTTTCTTTCATTCGTTTCGTCATATATTGAGTTTGTATAAACTTTTTACTGCCTTATTAATTTCAAAGTTGTTTGTAGCATTTTGTATTGCACTTACTTAATATATGTATGTATGTACATAAAATGTTCGATTCATTTGTTTTTACCTTACAGAGTAGCAGCAGATATAGTGGAGTACTTGTTAAATTGAAGGAGTTCAGTTCACACTGATAGACTATAAAAAGGAATGTGTACTCATATTTTCATTTTAATCATTCAAATTATTCCTATTCATCTTGATCCCAACCATCGCATTTATATCCATCTAATTGGTTTCCTTTTTATAGAATTTTTGACTAACTTTTAAAAAAATCTTTCAGATTTAATGTCCACACTTGTCAGTTTTCAGATTTTTACTTTTTTTTTTAATCGAGATTTCCTATTGTCTGACCTTTTTGTTTTAATCACGTTTACTACCTCTATTCACGTGTACTTTTTTGTGTATCTAAGTATCTCTTTCATACATGCACACATACAAAATAGATTAGAGTTGCATTTGTACTGATTTTACTTTCTTTTTGTGTATTATTTCTGAATATTTTCTCCGTTACTGTCACCCGTCCTAACCTTGCGCCATGTTGTCAGTCCCTTTCATACATTTCACCTTTATAAACATTGAAAACTTCATTTAATTTGTAACAAAGTATAGCTTTTGCCTTATTATATAACTCGTTGCAAAGATTGAGTTACATATATATACATATATACAACAACTTTCGTACTTATTATTTGTGTTGTGAGTTGACATTTTGTTGAAACTTGTTATTGTCTGTTCGTATGACCCAGATTTTAAATCTGAGTTTGAAATGTTGCTTAAGAAGGCTAAATACTTGTACATTCCCCTAACTTTATTTTAGAATTCTTGCCACTTCATTTGTCTAGGGAACTATGGTATGAATACAGAAAGTTTACGTGGTAGTTACCAACTCAGGTTATTTGAGGTGTCAAAGAGGTATATGCATACTCTACAAAGAACGAAGTGATATTGCCACTGCAATGTTTTAGTTGATGCAGTTTTTCAACCTGCAACGACTGAGGTGAATAAAATGTATTGTCCAAATCTAACAACCGTACACTTGATGGTTGATATAATTTAGACTACGGGGTGTAGTGAAACGCAACTCAGGTTGACCAGATCAAGATATCAGTTAATCGGGTTATGTATTCTCGATGTCAGTAATGGTGTGACTGTCTGTTTTCTGGCTGAATTTTCTGTGACTGAAGACATCTGTGGTCACAATACCTGGGACGACTTTAAAGGCCACCCTAGCAACAATCGAAATGACCAATTAGGTTTCTCCATCTCGGCTGGAATGCCAAATTTTCATAACATAGAGAAGTCTAATTGGTTATTTCACTTGTTGCTAGGGTGGTCTTAAGTGTCACTCCAATACCTATTTGAAATATATGGTAGCCTGTAATAGCCCAGAGCCGTTCACTCTTGATTTTGGGAAGAATATTGAGTAAGTTTACACATCCTAGATATTTTTTCATCATTCTAACTATTCTGAGTTCAGTAGTAGAGGTTTGTACATAGAACTTTTTCATGAATCCGAAAAACTGGTTTGAAACATCTAATACATACTCCGTGAGTGTTAGTTGCCTTTAATATTATTCCGATTTCTGTACAAGTGTTTCGAAGTCGTACCAGCCATCCTCTCTATGCTTTCATGAACATCATTAAATAAAGCCTACACTCAAGTAACCTAAAAAACAGTAATCGTAAAAGACTTCGGTAAACTGTAACACTTCGTGAAAAATACTTGTTGTGATCGGCTACCAGTGCTTAAATTGGTTGTTTTTTAGCACCCACGTGTTATATTTGTACAACTTTTACGTATGACTTTTGCCCTTTTTTAGTGGCATGAAACCTGCTTCTGGCTTTGCATCCTTCCGTAGTCAAGTGCGTATAACACCAGGAGCTATTGTCTGTTCAGAATGTGAGTTATCTGGTGAAATAATTATCGGTGCAAATACTATTATTCATCCTAAGGCACGTATCATTGCTGAGGCGGGTCCAATACATATTGGTTCATATAATTTAATTGAAGAACAAGTTGAAATTGTGAATAAAATTTCTGGTTCGACAATGAAGATCGGGGATTACAATGTATTTGAGGTTAGTTATTTATCTAGCTTATATGTATCATAAGTATATTGATGAGTGTTTCTGTCTACCCCCAGCTCCTAATTGGCTAAGTCAGGAAGCTTTTGATCAACCAAGAGTGCTTAGAGGGCACTGTTCTGTTAAATTAATATGGTAGTGTGATATAGTCTGCAGAACTCCTTAGAACGAGTTTTTTACGTATCGAATGTGAGATGATACCCTAGGAATGATCTCTCCTAGCACTTAGCTGAAAGTTATAGAGTACATTAGTTGATAGTACTGGGAGCATGATTTTTTCAGGAGGTTGTTTCAGCAAGAGCTGGTTGGTGATTAAATTGTGACATGAATATAAAACGGTCATTTGGCGTTTATTGACCTACAATATCTATGGCATTGACTGTTTGTGAAACAGTTAGAGTATTACTCAGCAGTCCACCCCATCTTTGTCCACAGCCATCAGATAACCGTTGAAGAAGTCAGAGACATTCCATCACTAGTGTATTAGTAGTATTACTTGTTTGTGGTGAGACGGCTGGTTAACAACTTTGTGGTTGTTAGCAAAGTCTAAGGTATAAGACGTAAATTAGTCGATGAGACTGTAAACGTCTGCAGATGAAGATTGATGGGATGTGTGTTACATTTTCCCTAGTGATCTCTTTAACGTGTGACAATTTTCACAGCAAATTTAAGTTGGAGGAAAGTTTATTAGTGAAGTGAAGATATGACACTGGTTAAGTGTAGGCTACCTGGTTGATGACCTAGAAGTATCGATTTTTTGCATGCCTTTGATGATGTGGTTGAAAATCGGTCTTCAGAATCTTGAGCACTATATAACCCTTCGTTCATTTTGTTGTTTCAGCTTTTCTTGTTTGTACTATCGTCTTTTCGTGTATGTCAATGTGCTTTCGTCAATTGTCAGCTAAAACCAACCAGCTTTTTATCGACTTCAGAATCGAAACTTGACCTACTAAAGTTGAGCGTTGGATAAATGGATTATAAATGAAATATATATTTCTAAAATCCCAATGAGGTAGTAAATTTTTTGAAGTTTCATGAGAGAGAGAAAAATGTCTACAAATTATTACGCGTTTAAATAGTGAGTGGTGACAAATCAGATCTCATTGTTTATACATGACATTAATATGGGAATAAATGTGCTACAGTCATGAACATAAAAAACTATACCCGTCGCAAAAGAAATGTCTGTCGTGACTCGGTGGCCTAGTGGATAACACTGTGGTGTTTGCAGCGATCGCTCCCGGGTTCCAGTCTTAGTGGGAACAACACTGCTCACTGAGAGCCAGACACGTCCAGCTAACGAGTCCCAAACAGGACGAAACGCACCTGGATTCCACTGCCAGCCACTGTCCATTATTAATATAACACTGGAACATAGGCAATAACGAGGCATCCGCACAAGAGCCCATATGTCAATAGAGACTGGTCATTTCGGTCCAATCCAACCATAGGATAGTATAAGCAACAACATAATAAATGTCGTCGTTATCGGTTATTAGTCTGAGGTCAAGGTTAAGGTGGGGATGTGGTACACATGTAAATGGGTGTGAGGAAAATACTGTAGTTGAAGAATTCTGTTTGTGCGTATGTACTTTAGTTATGACTATTGTGCGTGACGTGTTATTTCGGATATACCTTTCAAGTTGGTTGGATAGTTAAACCTTTCTGATAGGTGCATTAAGACTCAACATAATGCTAAATTGCAACGCAATTTATATGAACTGTGATCAAGATTTGATCTCAGAGTATCTCAAATATTAGGTGCTGAGTAGAAAGTTGACATTAGATATAGTTTGTATTTTTTTTATCACAGCGTATTTGAAATGAAATAATTCCAACCTTCCACACGGAAGTCTCATCCGAACTTCTTCAGAGAAATAATCAAAGTTTATAATGAATTTAATTTCGATCATTTCCCTAAAGAAGCTCGAACCAGACTTCCATGTGAAACGTTGGAAACATCGAAAAACCTTTTTGAATAATTTTAATGTTTTCAATATCAATTTTGTGACCGTAATAGATAGCATGAATAGCGATCGCCGATTTGATTTGTAAATTCCCTAGTTCTCTAGTTATAAACAAAGTGATATGATTTGTCGCCATCTATTTAGGCATCCGATAGCTTGTACATGTTTTGTTCTCAGAAGAAGCGATTTCTACGAGGTTGCGAAACGTTAGAAATTTATTTCTCCACCTCATTGGGACTTTACGAATATATTTCATTTACAACCAACTTTTGCTGGAACTGCTACATTTTAATGTTTAACTTTCTTTCCAGAAGTAACTTTTAGCAACTCTGTATCGAAGCACATCCTGGTATCTGGTACCCACTATACAAATTCTAGCGGTAAATAGAACAGTTATGATGAGGCTGTTAGTTATGCCCACTCTCCTGTTTGAACTTAGATTACTGTTCTTTAAGTACATGTCTACCATCCAAACAATCTTAGGAATTCACTAAAACACTTGTCTAGAGAGCAACAACCTACCTGAATGAACAACATAGTAAAAATTTAGAACAAGACAAAAAATGGTTGAGTTCGGGATAGTTGCAATAATCATCACAAAGTTACCTAATTTTTTTTTTATCATGTCTATCAAGGTAGGAGCTCATTGTTATGCTCTACAAGTTGGTGATAATAATGTTTTCGAAGCAAAATGTCACATTGGTCCAAATGTTAAAATTACTCACGGTTGTGTGATCGGTGCAATGTCTTCAATGGATTCTGGGGAAACAATACCAGAATGCACTGTTGTTTACGGTGATGAAGTTAGTAATATTATGTTTATTACTTCTGTTGTGACTGTTTAGTCTGTATATTTGTGTTGAAATTTTGTGACTGCATGATTTTTGCGCAGGAATGAAAGTATGAGTACTTTAAGAACCTCATAATATAAAGGACTCAATGGATAGCTGCTACCTTGACGTGGTGGTCGGGCTTGCATATCACGATGACCCAAGGAGCTATGCTAGTGGAATACTTTTCCCCTCGAGGTCCTGTCATACCAGAAAGGTTTGTTGGATAGTGATTAGGCGAAAGGTAGTTTCCGTTGTGGTGTAAATTACTACACTATGATGCGGGTCTGAGGACGAAGTTTTACTGCTGCTAGCTGGATGGGGTGTGACAGCAGTAAGGTGTTTCCCTTGGATGACCAGCAGTGCCATGCTGATGCTGCCTTCTCAGTGGAAGGGGGAGGGGTTAGAAAAGGTCGGCCCCAAAAATAACACACTCCACCACGCCCATGGTCTACCGGGCCGGAGATGGTTCACTTGTCGTTTCCTTTCGACCATCCGGCCCCAAACAACAAAAGTTCAAAACAACCATATACAAAAGGTTGCGTGTGACAAGCCTCAATCAGATGTCCGATGGGCTCTATGGTCACACAAATCTCTTCCAGGTACCTTAAGAAGAAATAGCCTTCCACGTTGTGGGCAGCCGGGAAGTGTCAACCGCCCTCACAACTCTATCAGCACTCAAGTTTCTTCAGACTGCTATCCACCTTCCTTATCAATACCTTCTAATCTTCCTTCACGTCTCTCAACTAAAAATACTACATTTTCTTCAATTTCATGTATAAACGTCGCATTGCTGACTATGGAAAGTGTTCGTTGTGAGTGAAGAGCGTAGTTATAGAAATTCGCTTGTATTACCGTTGAAGTATTAGTCTTATCTGATAACAGTACACTGCCAGAAACACAAAAATGGGGATAAGGCTGGTAGAATTTCAGAGGAAGCGTCTAATCTCTGTGGACTTGATGGTTAGCACATGTTTCGCGTATGATCACCAACAGTAAGTAACATAAATGCACTAAGACTGGTTGTACTAATTAATACTAGAGCACGATTTGTTGTCTTTAAATATCAGTCTACATTGTTCCTATCCTAAGAAAATTGTGAGGTTGTGTAACTACAATCATTACTGATAATTCTTTACATAGGATGGTTATCTACAATTTGTGGTGACAGCGTAAAATATGATCGTCGGACTGATAGTGTTTTCTTGCACTTTTTCAGTAAATATTTCTTCTATTCTTGTGTGTTATATACAGTGTTAGTGGCATTAGTAACTTTGATACCATTCTTCATGTGTCGATTGATTCCTGGTGAATCCAAAAGTTATACAACCGACGTAACGTTAACTACTCTTATATATACAATCGACTGCATAATAACTTTCAAATTCCACTTCACTTGTCATTTGTTTCTTCAGGAATGGAAAAGACAGTAGGACAATAGAGGGGTTTTTACAAGGTTAGCAATACACTAAGCTGCTTATATAGGCTACAAACCATCATGAGCTTTTTGACAGCATTCCAGAACACCGGTATTGTTGGTTTTTGCCCATTTACTCATTCAGACAAATAATTATTTATACCATGCAATAGCGGGATTTTCTTGAAGTTTCTAAATGAGCTGATTGATTTCAAACACTCCAATAGTTTGAAGAGTGAGAATAACTTATGAACAGAGTAATATGGCACATTTTTATCCCATTGGTTTCTCTCCAGCTGCTTAAAGTATGGATTATCGAAACATAAATACCTATTAAAACAGTTTAATGTTTGTTAATTCCATGAAATGAACATTCATTGGGTTATTGGAACAGATTGGAATCAGCGTAGTGTAGTTAGGAGTAACAAATCTGAAGAAGGTTAAGGGTGCACACCAGTGTCACAACAGTATGCATCATACACTTGGAACTTCTCAAAAATTAACAGGAGTAGAGTAATCTATCTTGCGATTCAGAATGTAAGATTATGTAAGTCAAATGATAGATAGACTTGCGAAGAAAACAGACTGTGTAAGTGATAGTGGTTTCAACTGAATTAGTCAGTAGGAACATGTCAAGTTGAATTAGATAAGGATGATGTAAAAATGTAGAAATGAAAGTTAACATGTGGATTTGATAAGACAACTATGTTAGCAAATGAAAGCAAGTATTAGTTTATAATTGGGTTACCGAGATGGAGAAAGATTGATGACAGTTAACTCTTGAATACATAAATAAGGTTTCAAGTGTTTGATGTCTATTGCTTCAATGAACCTTAGGAGATGTGAGGTAGTTTATTACATAATTATCTTAAGAGACCTCAAGATATTCACCTGATAACCTGTGTCAACCAAATGTCAAGCGATTACATTGTTGCGATTGTTGTTTCCTTTAGGTTGCAAAGTCTTTGGAATATGTTTAGAAAATCTGAGCTTTGGTCTGCGTTTTGTCCTCCAAAAGTGCTTACTTTGGAGGCTACACGTAAATCGATACTTGCAAGTGGAGGTCATATAGGAAGGTTACCTAACGAATTTTGACTACTATGGTGAACATTGTTTAATACGTAGGAATTTACCTTGGTGCAGGGATATGATAGTGCTATCTATTTAATGTTATAGGCCACTGTCGCTACCATTCTCGCTTTCCACAGGAATGTATGTATGTAGGTTAGTAGAGACTCCTAGCAAGTGGAGTGGGTATCTAGGGTAAGCATATCATCCACATGCGTGAAGTTAAGCTTTCCCTCCACCCTACCATATATAGGTACTGCATTTCCGAGATAAGTCTTGAAGATATTTGCCAGTGCCAGTGAAGTCCCTATGGCCATCCCATCAATTAGTGGGTAAAATCTGTTGGTTAACCTGAATTGAACATCATTGGTTCACATTGGTAAAATGAATTTGAATTCTGTTGCTGGCAAGATGAAGAGGTCAGAATGCTGACGAATAATATACGTAGTTTCAAGAGGAGATTTATTTGGGAGAAAAGAAGTTGCATTGAAGAGCACCTGGATTTTCAGGAGACAGAGGATTAGAAAGAATCTGGGAGTGTGTATGCAGCTAATCGTCGACGAACAGGTTCCACTTTTTGTACCAACCAACGAACTATTTTGTGGTGTGACGAATCAATCATATATAGTATAGGTCGCAATGAAAAAGTTCTACTCGTCTACCTTTGTTATTCCATGTATATGAGATAAACGAAATCGTTAAGGCCTTATTGACAACGTTATGTTTTGAATTATCAGCCAATTTCTTCATCGAGAATGATTGAGTTTTTCTGTTAAGTGCATTAGTGTTCTGTTCCAGTTGTCGATTTTGATTTTCAGTGAGTCATGCATGGTCGAATTCATATTGACGATGTAATCGCTTTTACTCATTTTCACACCACCTGAACGTTTATTTCGTTTCAATGCCATGATTCGGTCGTTGTACTGGAGATTCTTTCAAAACATCGAATGCTCTTTCATAGAAATTCTTGACTTATGGGTCAGTGAAATAAATTCTTAGTTGGTGATTTTGACCAATTTTGCATTGAATCAACTCTTCCTATTTTCACTTACTACATTCAATTCCTCCAACTGGTTAAACGAAATATAACTGAGTTTGTGCGTCATATCTGTTAGTTACCTTTCACAAGATTTGAAGCTTAAATCCTAGCAATGGTGTTTCCAATTGAACTTGAATTGTTTTCACGTTTATGGTGAGGTAGTCCGGAGAGCTTTCGTACCACCTTTTCTTATGATCCTTTGTATGGTTGACCTGACCGATTGCTGCTACCTTGATGTGGTGGTGGTGCTTGTATGTCACAATGACCCAACGAGCTATGCTGGTGGAACGCGTTTCCTAGAGGTCCTACCATACCAGAAAGGTCTGTTAAATAATGGTTAGATAAAAATTAGTTACCATTAAAATGTTAATTACTACGCTAAGATGCGGGTCTGAGTACGAAGTCGTACTGCTGACTTGATGGGATGTGACGGTAGCAAGGTGTTTTCCCTGGATAACCAGCTGTGCCACGCTGATGCTGCCTTCTTAACAGAAGAGGGGTTAAAAAAAGGTTGGCCTCAAAAATTGCACTCCCACTGCTTTCGGCATACTGAGGACTTTAATGAAGATGCATAATCGGACTTCAAGGCAAAAACCTCAAACTTTCCAAAGGATCGTATGTGACAGGTCTCAAGAAGATTACCCATAACCTCTATGGTCACACACTATCCCTTCTTTTACAAGTACTTTAAAAAGAAATACCCTCCCAAGGCGTAGGCTGCCGAGAAGTGCCAACCTCCTGCATGCTTTCAGTAGTACACAAAACCCAATCCAACATGACCCATCCTCTTCAACTCTGTCTCTTCGTTTGTCTTCACCTCCTAATACTAATATTAGCGCTCTTACGCTTAACCCAGCCTCTCCCTGTAGAACCATAGCCAACACTCAGAGCCATCTAAATTAAATTCCTAGCCTCCTAAGACCTCACATCGATTCCATGTAGGAGCCTTCATCGTGCGAACTCAATGCCAAATCTGATACTAAGCATCGCTCGCCAAAACGCTGGGATTGCGAGCCATAGATATATGTTGTCTCCGAGACATATGCAGGACCTTGGTGTGTTGACTTCCCCTGTGAATCTTCAAAACCCACCTTAAGAGTATCTGTAGACCCAGTGGCTCTCTTGGATTCGCTGGTGTGGACATACCACTGAGTTGTAGGGCAGAAATTGCGCTTCTCGACTGGACACCAGTAAACAGCCGTTTTGTGCTGTTCGACTGGATTGATCTGTAAGGATTAAGTAGGATCGTGAGACTAAGCGATGCCCATTCGTAATCTCCGCCTACGCAACCACCGACTGACTCCAGTCGGGATGATGCAGAGGATGAATTCTATGAGAAGCTGTCAACTTTGCTACAGGAAGCAATACATACAGATGTTCTCATAATGGCAGGTGACTTTAACGCTCAAGTAGGCAAGCTGAACTATGTGGAAAGGCATTTTGGAGGTA